CGGCGAGGCTCCTGGCAAGGCATCCAGGTTTGCCGCAGCTGCACAGGCAGGCACGGTGGGGCTCGGCAGGGGCTACCATTTGGCGGGATCTCTGTGCCTCTCTTTGGCACAGGGAATTTCTCAGGTGCAAAACTTTAAGAGCTTTAGGCAGAGTGGCTGGTGAGTTCTTACTCTTCTGTATAAAAGAAAAACCAGAGGGGTGGTGCCTGTGGCTCAAAGGAGTAGGGTGCCGGCCCCGTTTGCCAGAGGTGGTGGGTTCAAACCCAGCCCTGGCCAAAAACTGCAAAAAAAGAAAAGAAAGGAAGAAAAACCAGAGAAAGCAAAGCATTCTGCTTTCTAGAAGCCGGGTCAGTTAGAAACCAGTTCCAGCGCTTAAAAGAGGCCCTACAGTTAGAAAGCAACACCAGATAATAGTAAGTGACACATTAACAAAAAGTATGATGCCAAACCCGCAAAAGCAGGTAAACATCAGTGTAAATAACTCTGCATAACCGGTACGAATAGATGCATGTAAATGCACATAGAGCAAAGCTGAAAGTCAATGCAACTAAATAATAGTTATTTATGAATAACTATTATTTGCTGCAAATAATAGTTATTTCTGGTGGGTGATAGGTAACTTTTTATTGTATTTTCCAAATTTTCTACAGTGACCAGTTATTCTTTTTTATATAATACGTAGGAGAAAAGTTATTAAAACGTAGGAAGGAGCATCTGGAGAACAGCTTTATAAAATGCTTTTATCTTCGCATCTCCATCACAAGGAATGCCCATCTCTTCTCAGGGTCCCCTGGGACAGAGAGGAGAGAAGGAAGCCTGGAGTGGAAGTGATACTGAGCGCGTGTGTCTGTGGTTTCTCTGGGGCCTCCCCGAGATGAAGGGACAGAAACAGGAAAAGAAATCAGTCCCCGCCCCATGAGTTCAGCTGCTCTCCAGGAGGTGAGCGCCTCTCTGGGTCAATCATTTCTCTGCTAGGTCCTCACAAGACATTAATATTGTGGTTCAGTTGATACGTGCTTATATTTACCCACATATTAACACTTTCTGTTGATTGTCATTTTGTTTTTGTCCATCATTTTTCTTCCATCTGAAAAACTCTAGTATTTATTTTGGTACAGAGTGGCAACAAAGTCTCTCTGTTTTTCCCTGGAAATGCCTTATTTTGCCTCTACTTAAAGGAAAACAACTCCATGGAAGTATAATTTTGAAAAATAACTTTGCAGATTTCAAGCATTTGAGTTGCTAACTTTTGACAAATTGACAATTGTATATATATATATGTACCTTTACACACATATAGGTGATATATATAAAGTGTGTGTATATATACACATTATATGTATATGTGTGTGTGATAAAGAGAGAGAGAGAAAGAGAGAAAGCTGCAATGAAGACCGGAAACCTTTCTATCTACCCAGAAATTTCCCTTATTCCTCTTTGCAGTCAGTTTCTCCCCCAACTCCCACCCACCTCCTACCCCAGGAAATGGCTGATCTGATATTTAGATCAGATATTCAGAATCATATGCGTTGAATCATACACTGTGTACTCTTGAGTCTGTTTCTCTCAGCGTAGATTCTGTGATTTTCATGTTGCATTCTTATTTCATCATAGTTTTTGTCGAATGGTATTCTACTGTATGAATATACCACACTTTGTGGATCCGCTCACCCGTAGTTGTCCTCTGTGGGAGCCACAGGCGACTCTATCATCGCTAGGAGCAGAAGCCCCTTGTTTTAAAACAAAGAAACTGTCAGAACCTCTGATTCTTTTCAAAAGGTGGATTTCTAGAGGGGGGAGTTGCTAAATAGAACTGTTGACGCATCTGTCAAGCGGCTTTCCAGGGTTTTCCACACATTTTCACTCCTACCAGTGGTAGATGAGAGTCCCCGTCGCACCATACCATCAATAGCATTTTCATATCTTACTTTCTAATCTTTGCGGGCATGCTAAGCTGCAGAACTGTATGCAGCAGTTGAAAGGAATTTCACCTAGAGTATAAACCAATAGGTCCTGTACTTATCGGCTTCCCGAGTTTGCAGAATTGTCAGTGACTTCACTTCTTTGCCCTCTGGTCTCACTGACTTCCTGATGAAAGTGATCTGAAAAGCCAGTTCCGACCATTCCTGGCCTCAGTATCTGAAGTGGAAGGGAGGGCGTGGCAACAACTCTCACCTCAGCTTCCTGGGTGACTTCTCCAGGCCTGCGCTGTGCACTTCCCCAGCCATGGGCGGCAGGTGGCCATGGAGCACCTGAGATGCGGCTGATCCAAATTGCGATGTGCTGTAACATGTACAACACACATCAGATTCCAAAGCCTTAGTATGAAAAAAATGTCCTATCTTTCACTAATATAGTTTATCTTCGTGACATATTAAGAAAATGTTTTTAACATAGCGAGCTAAATAAAACATCATTAAAATAATTTCACCTGCTTATCTTTACTTTTATTAATGTGGCTATAAGAAAACTTAAAACTACCAACGAGGCTTGTGTTTTTTGCAAGTCAACAGTACTACTCCATGGTCTCATTTAAAAGAATGACTCTCTTCTCCCGTGTGCTTTTCCCCTTTGAATGTCCACCTTCCTCCAATCCCAGCTTCATTCAGAGCAGTTTCCCTGAATCCTCTCTTGGAGGCTCTTCTGATTTTGTATTTAGTTCAGAAGATGACATTGCTAGGTGGGACCTGGGCACAGATTACTGTGAAGAGCCTGGAGTGGTGAATTGCCCCAGGATTCCCTAGGGAACTACACCTCTCTGAGGGCAGATGAGAATGTTGGGGAGAGGAGTGTGGGGGAAGATGCCCATCCAAGCCCCTACCTCTCTGAGGGCCCCTCGCTGCCAACAGTGTCTACCCTGCCTGCCTTTGCCTCGAGAGATGGCTCTCCAAGGTGGACTAACCCCCTATCTTTTTCGCTTCGTTTTTCCACTCGGTCTTCCATCTTTTATTCTGCAGGGAGTCTTGTTTTCTGGATGCCTCCATTAGCTTGATAGTTTTCTGTGGTGGTCCCCCCTGGAGCGGCCTCACCAGGGTCTCCAACTTCACTGCTCATTGCTCTCTGCCACTGGCCCGGGAGAGCCCCACTCTTGAGAACAGGCCCAGCTCCTAGAAACCTGGCCCCGGCCCAACCTTGGTCTTTCTTTAGCCGAGAAGGGAGACCAGACCCTCTTCCCCAGCCAAACCCACCATCTACCAGGAAAAGAAAGTAAAGAATCTCCTCTCAGGGCCAGGAGATCTCTTTGGTGTTTGTGTTAACAGGTGCCCAGGAATTTTTGAATTTCTCTACAGCGTTCCATGGTATGCATTTTGTCTATGCGTGTATTCTGTCCACCAGGGCAGTGTTCGGTTTCTCTATTTCCCCTTCGGACCTTCATACCTTGTCAAGTTCCTACTGAATCGAGCTGACTCTGCACATTTGACTAAATCTCAGACCAGGGCTCTGGAAATTACAAAACTGCCTCCTTGCCATGTATTGTTTTTGTTTAGGTGGCTATAAATTAGAAGACTTTTCTTTAAGTTTTTGTCTTTGTTGGCAAGAGGTGGAAATGCCTATGGTAGTTATTTCAGGGAAATCTGGGAAGACAAGTCACTGTTTGGCAGAGATAGGAGCAATGAGTAAAATGGGACCCTCCTGGGAGATGGAGGAAAACAGGAGGGAGGGTGAGAAAGTGTCACACCTTTTCTCAGCCTTCTGAAGAATGGAGCATGGAATTAAAAAAATACTGGTCCCAAAGTGAGAAAGGGACTTCCTTTTCTTTCCAATTTTCTCTCCAACTTGTGATTATCTTAGATTATCTTAGATTATCTTAGCTCCATTCTGTGCTACTATATTCTTATCACCTCTCAAATGCCTCTGAGAGAGAACCCGCCCTCAAACCGCAAACCTCAAACCTTTTCAGGCAGCATTACAATAACATTATCTTATTTCTATGTAATACTGTTTTATTTTTGTGTTACTTTCTATTTATTACAACTACTATTTTTTGTCTCCAATGGTGGCATGAAATGCCCTTTAAAACTAATATATTAGAGTTTTAAAAAACTCAACTTAAAGCAAAAAGTTAAATTAAATGCAGGTGAGACTCAATTATGGCAAGAACAACAAAAAAGTGACTATGGGGCGGTGTCTGTGGCTCAAAGGAGTGGGCGCCAGCCCCATATACCGGAGGTGGCAGGTTCAAACCCAGCCCCGGCCAAAAACTGCAAAAATAAAAAGTGACTGTGGTGAGAATGTCTGACATTTGGAAAATATTTTCCTAAAAGAAGAAGGTACAAAAAGTACTCCAAGATCATTAAATTTTAGGTTTAAAATTCTACCTATTAGGGTCTGAAACCTCACTAGGAGCTCATGGCACAGGTAGAGAAAAATTCCTCTTACAGAAATTAGGAAATAGAAAAGTTAAAATGTTTATCTTATTTTCTCAGAAGAGAGAGTGAGAGAATGAAAGAGAGGGAAGAAAAAGAGAGCAGAGAGGTGCTGTGGCATCCCAAAGAGAGAGGAAGTGCTAGCCCGGAGGCCAAGGGGCTTGTTAAGTTTAAAGGGAATATATAGGGAAAAAAGTGATTGCTGTCAGTCATAACAGAGATGGCAGTGGGATGTCAAATTCCAAGAGTTGGCTCCCCCACCTTTCTTCACAGACAGGACAAGGGATTGGGATTATCACAGAAGATGTGGCTCTGCCCTCAAGATATGGCTGAAGCCTGAAGCGCCTTCCTTGCTGTTTACTCAGGAACTTTGTCCAAAAGCAGCCTCTCAAAGGCAACTTTAAAAAGGAAGATTTACATCTCTTTTCCATCTGTTCAGCTGTTTTCAGAAGTTGTGCAAAACAGAACTCCAGTGGGGTGTCTGTTAGCAGGAGTCACAGGATTTATCTTTAATTGTTACTAGGAAATTGTGGTATTTTCCTGTTATTTTTGGAAGGCCACCCCTTTCACATCCTGTCCCCTTTCAGGACAATAATATTTCAAAAACACCTTTTCTTTTCTTTGATTTTGCAGATTCCAGAAAGAAATTGGGAATTGAAGATTTGAAAAGAAACTGTTGTTTTAAAATATTCTGATTTACTTCAAAGAGTGATGCCAGAAACTTAAAAAGGTATTATTGGCTACTATTTTAAATTGAATATTATTAACTTGTATATCTTAGGGAACCAACTTTTTAAAAATGTTTTTAGACAGAGCCTCACTCTGTTGCCCTGGATAGAGTGCCATGGCATCAACTTAGTTCACAGCAACCTCAAACTCTTGGGCTCAAGCCATCCTCTGCCTCAGCCTCCTAAGTAGCTGGGACTACAGGCGCCTGTCATAACACCCAGCTAATTTTTTTTTTTTTTTAGTAGAAAGAGGAGGGGGTCTCACTCTTGCTCAGGCTAGTCTCGAACTTCTGAGCTCAAGGGATCCACCCACCTAGACCTCCAAGAGTGCTAGGATTACAGGTGTGAGCCACAATGCCTGGCCTGGGAACCAATTTTTAAAGCTATGGATCCTGGCCATGTGCAGTGGCTCACACCTGTAGTCCTAGCATTCTGGGAGGCCAAGGTGGGTAGATTGCCTGAGTTCACGGGTTCAAGACTAGCCTGAGCCATAGCCAGATCCCATCTCTAAAAATAACTGGGCGTTGTGGCAGGTACCTGTAGTCACAGCTACTCAGGAGGCTAAGGCAAGAGGATTGCTTGAGCCCAGGAGTTCGAGGTGGCTGTGACACCATGGCACTCTACTGAGGGTGACAAAGTGAGACTCTATCTAAAAAATAAGAATAGAATAAATAAAGCTATGGATCCTAAAGTGGGTCATGAAATTGACAACAATACACAAGGAATTAGCATTTAGTGGAAAATTATACTAACCTATTGTTTTCATCCCTTTAAATTCTTTTTATTGAGGTCTTTTGCTCTTCTCAGGCTTTGAATGATAAATTGTACTCTCACTGGCTGAGTAATTTGGGTTTTAAAAGGGAAGTTATTGGGTGGGGTCTGGCTGAGAGTCTCTGTTAGGCTTGCAGTGTTTGGCAATTTATTAAGTAAACCCTCCCCCCCCAAAAAAGTGTGTCAAAGAGAAGGAGACTCATGTGTGATTTGGTGGGAAAAAATTTGAAAACCTAAATGTTAACAGATGTGGCTTGTGAAACATGAATGGTGTCGACAGTGTTAAAAGATCTGTGACAAATTTTTTTTTTTTTTTTTTTGCTTACCAAAACAATTTTTTTTTAACTATCACTCTGAAATGTGTGAATTTTCCTGCCTAGACAAAGGGGCCAGTTTAGGCCTTTCTACTTCCAAGATCGTGATTAATTTTATACAAGGATGACTGCAGGTGATGTGGCTGAAGGATCTAATGTGGTTTTTTTTATTGTTGTAAGAAAGCAAGTCAGCGCAATTTGGGGATAAGTAAGATGAGCTCAAGTTATTTTTTTAATGTCAAATAAAATAGCTTGGGTGTGTCCCTGTTCCTACTTAGGAAGTTCAACATGGGCACAAGGTTTTTCAGGGTTCCCATGGTGATGTGTCTCTTGGTCATCTAGCACTGGGGGCTCTGTGCCAACTCTCCCCTTTCCCCCCTACACCTCTGCCCTCTTTCATGCCTTTCATGCCCACATGACGACTGCTTCTCCTTCCTTCCCTAGGGTGCTTGTATATAGCAGACTTTGCTGAGGGTTTGAGGATCATGAGTGAGGGAGAGTGATACAGTGCAACCCACAATGGGATACCTCACTGCCCCCGGGGTCCCTGGCTCTGCCTACCACAGGACACTTCAAGCAGCTGTCTCTGTCCTTAGACTACTTTGTGCTCGACCCTCTCTCCAGCCCACCCCACAATTCCTCTGTTCCCAATGCTGGGCCCACTCCCTGTTTGGAGGATGCAGAAACCTCCAATCACAGTTCACCTTATTATATAAAATAATATTCTTTCCCATCTCCACCCCAGTCTAAGATCGAAGCACACTTTGCTTTTTAAAATAATATTGATGATTAAGAAATTTTGCTGAACAGAAAGGATTAGCTATCTCTGGTCACCTGTAACCCAGAAACAGAAGCAATGAAATTATGACTGTTTTTCTTTAATGCATCTCAGATAAAAACAAAAAGTCTTAATCCTGGCTCCCTCCACAACTCTAAGTAGAGAAACCCCGGGATCAATAGGAAGTTGGGGTTTTTTTTCTGTGGTTCTTGCCTTGTTACTGACGTCATTGATCTCTTCAGGGGCTGCACCGAGAAGGGGGGTCCTGGAGGGATGGCCCTGAATCCTGCTTGCCCTTGTGTGGGAAAGACACATACAGCCGAAAATGAATTTGGGAAAAGTAGCCACTTGCCACTTTAACTATGGAAAAGCAGGGTCACAGTGAGATGGAAACAATCCCATCAGATTCTCCCTCCTACATTAAATTGCTGAAAACCCACCGGGAACTTCTTGTCACACACATCCGTAACACTCAGTGTCTGGTGGACAATTTGCTGAAGAATGACTACTTCTCAGCTGAAGATTCGGAGATCGTGTGTGCCTGTCCTACCCAGCCCAACAAGGTGCGCCTGTGATGGGGATTGGCATTGGCAGTGTGCAAACCCGGTAGCTGGAAGAGGCTTCTCCTGTTGACCAGAGTGGAGGGTCTCAGGAGCTTAGTACACTGGGCACAGTTTCTCACTGGGGTCTCCATAGAACATAAATGCCCGAGTTATCAGCTCATTTCACAATCGAGTGTTTCACTTCTGAGTTTGAGTCTAGAGCACCATCTTAAATCTGAGTTCTCATTGCTGTATATTTGCTTGCAAACACCTCATGTTAAAGCCCGCTGTAAATTAGTGGGAAGGAGAAAGAAAATGAGCATCAAACACTGGCAGTGATGTCCAGTCAGCATCTTTAGCGCTGGAGGCTTCTGGCTGCTGGGTGAGACCCAGATGGGCATTGCCTCCAGTTCAGATGTAATGACACCCCAGGGTGGGTGCGCAATAAAGGATTTTCCATGCTCCACATGGAGAGTCTCACCAGCTCTTGGTTTCACTTAAGATTTGTGTCATTGGCTCGGCGCCTGTGGCTCAAGTGGCTAAGGTGCCAGCCACATACATCTAAGGTGGCGGGTTCGAATCCAGCCCGGGCCCGCCAAACAACAATAATGGCTGCAACCAAAAAATAGCCGGGTGTTGTGGCGCGCGCCTGTGGTCCCAGCTACTTGGGAGGCGGAGGCAGGAGACTCGCTTGAGCCCAGGAGTTGGAGGTTGCTGTGAGCAGTGAAGCCATGGCACTCTACCCAGGGGGACAGCTTGAGGCTCTGTCTCAAAAAAAAAAGAAAAAAAAAAGATTTGTGTCATCTTCTGAAAAATCAAATCAGGACCCCAAACTTCTTTATGGTTAGAGGGATAATAGAAGCTATTTGTGACATGACCGTGCTGGGCTCAGAAGAGACCAGAGGAGTTCTTGGGGAAGTTTTGTAGGACACAGTGCACTTCAGTCTCCTCTCTTGATTTGTTTTCATGCATTTTTAATAACAAAAAAAGCCATTTGTAACATAAGATTTATATGAGGTCCCATCCCCCTCTTGCTGTGTGGCACAGGTGCTCCCTCATCAGGCCCAGGGGCCGGTTTCTCCCGCTCCACCCTTCCTCCTAAGTAGCAGGAGTATTAGGTTGAGAGGAATAAGGAGACAGGGAGAGAATTCCATGGCTGGACATGGCTCTACTTGTTCTTTTTAGACTCATGGAAGCCTGGTTTCTTAGAGCCATGTGGTTTTATTTCTTGCTAAGGAGGTCATTTCACATGGCACATCTCCCTCTAGCTGGGTGGATGGTGGGTCAAGTTACTGTCTGTAGTCAGCACTTAGACCCCTGCTCTGAGCCCATCTGGGGGTCTCTGGCTGTCAGGGATCGTGGATCACTCCCCTCATACCAGCTCATACCTCATGTTTGTGCTGCCACTAGGTCCGCAAAATTCTGGACCTGGTGCAGAGCAAGGGCGAGGAAGTGTCCGAATTTTTCCTCTATGTGCTCCAGCAACTCACAGACGCTTATGTGGACCTCAGGCCTTGGCTATCGCAGATCAGCTTCTCCCCTTCCCAGCTTATTCAGAGCAAAATTGTGCTCAACACCGACCCAGGTACGAGTCAGCCCTGCAGGTGCCAGTGCAAGCCCAGCCCTGGCGGCGGGAAAGGCTGTAGCAGTTAGGCCCAGGTGGGCAGGAGGCAGGCTCAGATGCTATTTTGATTTTAGAAATGAAGACCTGGTTTCTGTCACTCAAGTGCAGCTTGGAGATTGTGACTGAGCTGACCACATGTGACTACACATATAAAGCAGACAAACCTGGTCTGGTTTAGAAAACAGCCCACGGAGGTGTGGGGATGACCTCTGTTCTGACCTCTTGCTTCCTCCCTATTCTGACATATGTTGATATTTTAATGTTTGCACTAGTTCAAGGTTGCATTTGCTTTTTTTTTTTTTTTTCTTTAATCTTTCCAGGTTTGATTCTAGGCAAAATATTGTTCTCTCACCCTTGGGGGCCAGTCATTATTTCCAAAACACCATGGGAGAGCCCGTTAGTTAATTGATTAGCTCAACAAGTATTCTTGCTGTACCAATACCAAGGCCCCTGGCTGGACTCAAGGGAGGGAGTTAGTAGTGAGCAGCACAGACAGGGTTCCTGCCCTCAGAGAGCTCAGAGGCTGGTGGATGAGACCTCTGTTCTACAATCTCACAGATGATGATCAGGACAGTGGCAGCTGGAGCACTGGGGCAGGATCTGCTCTAGGACTGGGCATCTTCTTTCCTTGCTTTTGTGTGTTTTACTTAGAGGAGGTGTATGTTTAGGGGAAACAAAGCTAACCAGCAGAGTGTCAGGGCCATGCTCTGACTGCTGCCGCCCCCAAAAGTACCTGCCAGCCACTGACAGCTTCTTAACTCAAATATCTCTTCCTGTTCACTTCACTCCCCTCTCCGATGAGAAAAGGAAAATATTCCCACAATGAATGGCTCTTTCAAAAGACTTCTCTGTTGGCTCCTTTATCCAGTTATTATAGTAGTTTTTGTTTAGAGTTCAATTCACTCTATAAGAAGCCACACACAAAAGACTATATATTATAAGATTCAATTTATATGAAGTGTCCCCAAAAAAGCAAACTAATAGAGCAGATTAGCAGGTGCCTGTGGCCCAGGCTAGGGCAGGGATTAGCTGCAGGTAGACCCCACAAAGCTTTGCAACATTGATGGAAATGTGGTGAGGTTTCCCCAGCTTTGTAAATTTATTAAAAATCATTAACTTGTATATAACACAATAGTACATTTTATGGTACATAAATTATGCTTCAATAAAGCTATAAAAGAAAAATACAATTCACCTTATGAATTTTAAACAATCAGGCTCAGTGACTATGGCTCAAGTGGCTAAGGCGCCAGCCACATACACCTAAGGTGGCAGGTTCGAATCCAGCCTGGGCCTACCAAACAACAATGATGGTTGCAACAACAATAACAAAAAAATAGCCAAGTGTTGTGGCGGGCGCCTGTGGTCCCAGCTACTTGGGAGGCGGAGGCAGGAGACTCACTTGAGCCCAGGAGTTGGAGGTTGCTGTGAGCTGTGATGCCATGGCACTCTACCCAGGGGGACAGCTTGAGGCTCTGTCTCAAAAAAAAAAAAAAATTAAACAGTCAAATTGGATGAAATTGATAAGAAAGGGTTATAAATGAATCTGAAAATGTGCATGGGTGTCTAATTTTTGTTAATTGAATTACAATTAAAATTTGAAAAGCTATTTTAAAGGAATTTATGGGACACTCCATCTGTTTGAGGAAGAGCAGCCTCCGTATTTCATTACCTAGGTTTGCTAAGAGTGGGGTGCTCATGGGAATGTTAGGGTTTCTCATGGCCTTGTGGGCAGTGTAGGGCTCACCCTGTGGCATATGCCAAGTATCAGAGATCCCGAGGTCCTTGGAGCCAGAACTGGTGAACTCTGTTTAGGATGAGGTTGGTTTTCATCCCAGTGTACCCAGCCCTGTGGCATTTGGGATGAGGCCCAGCTCCTCCGTGGTAATCCAGGTTGTATGACGGGGTCATATTTTATCACCCTGTGTTATCATTGTAAGAATACCTGCTGTTCCAAGAGCAGTGTTACAAGCTAAAGAAAGTTTTGGGGAATTTCTTTCTTGACAATGAGCCTTTCTATAGAGACTGGCTCAGGCTGTTTGAATAGGGCCCTGGGGTAGGGTGGGAGCCGCAAGGCCACCTGGCCCTCAGGTGTGAGGGGTTTTAGCTTTTAGTTGCAATTCAATGACAATGTTGTGCAAGAGAGGCCTATCTCAGATCCCATTTGAAATCTGTCACTCTGGTCTTGGCCAAATCTGAGGTCAAGCAGGGGTGGGGTGGGGTCCTCAGATTCTAGAATGCTGGCTCTGAGGCCACAGGGGGCTTGGGCTTTGTCTGCGAGCTGTCCTCTCCTCCCTCTGATGTGGTTTCTGCCTCTGCCTCTCACCCGGGCCCCGGGCCTTCCCTCCAGTGAGCAGGTACACCCAGCAGCTGCGACACCATCTGGGTCGGGACTCCAAGTTCACGTTGTGCTATGGCCAGAAGGAGGAGGTGCTGCTGGAGGAGATGTACATGGACACGGTCATGGAGCTGGTCGATTTCAACAACGAGAGGCTCGGCAGCCTGGACAGCCTGGCCTGCCTCCTGGACCACGCCACAGGCGTCCTCGACGCACAGGGCGAGACGGTGTTCGTGTGCGGCGATGCTGGGGTGGGCAAGTCCATGGTGCTGCAGCGGCTGCAGAACCTCTGGGCCACTAGCCAGCTGGACACTGGGGTCAAATTCTTCTTCCACTTCCGCTGCCGCATGTTCAGCTGCTTCAAGGAAAGTGACACGCTGTGTCTTCAGGACCTGCTGTTCAAGCACTATTGCTACCCGGAGCAGGACCCCGACGAGGTGTTCTCCTTCCTGCTGCGCTTTCCCCATGTGGCCCTCTTCACCTTCGACGGCCTGGACGAGCTGCACTCGGACTTGGACCTGAGCCGCGTGCCGGACAGCTCCTGCCCCTGGGAGCCCGCCCACCCGCTAGTCCTGCTGGCCAACCTGCTCAGCGGGAAGCTGCTCAAGGGGGCCAGCAAGGTGCTCACGGCCCGCACCGGTGTCGAGGTCCCGCGCCAGCTCCTGCGGAAGAAGGTGCTCCTCCGGGGCTTCTCCCCCAGCCACCTGCGCTCCTACGCCAGGAGGATGTTCCCGGAGCGGGCCATGCAGGACCTCCTGATGACCCAGCTGGAGGCCAACCCCAACCTCTGCAGCCTATGTGCCGTGCCCCTCTTCTGCTGGATCATCTTCCAGTGCTTCCGGCACTTCCACACCGCCTTCGAAGGCTCGGCGCAGCTACCCGACTGCACAGTGACCCTCACCGACATCTTCCTGCTGGTCACCGAGGTCCACCTGAATAGGACGCAGCCCAGCAGCCTGCTGCAGCGGAACACGCGCAGCCAGGTGGAGACCTTCCGCGCCGGCCGGGACACCCTGCGCGCTCTGGGCCAGGTGGCCCACTGGGGCATGGAGAAGGGCCTGTTTGTCTTCAGCCAGGAGGAGGCGCAGACTTCCCAACTACGGGAGGAAGACCTGCAGCTGGGCTTCCTGCGGGCCTTGCCTGAGCCGGGTCCCGGGGGGCACCAGCAGTCTTTTGAGTTTTTCCACCTCACCCTCCAGGCCTTCTTCACAGCCTTCTTTCTGGTGGTGGATGACAAAGTGGGCACTCGGCAGCTGCTTCACTTCTTCCAGGAGTGGGCCCCGCCTGGGGAACCGGTGGCCACGTCCTGCTATCCCCCCCTCTTCCCTTTCCAGTGCCTGGGGGGTGGCGGCCTGGCGGGGGGAGACCCTTTTAAGAATAAGGATCACTTTCAGTTCACCAACCTCTTCTTGTGCGGGCTGTTGTCCAAAGCCAAGCAGAAGCTCCTGAGGCACCTGGTGCCTGTGGCGGCCCTGCGGAGAAAGCGCAAGGCCCTGTGGGCACACCTATTTTCCAGGCTGCGGTCCTACCTGAAGAGCCTGCCGCGAGTCCAGACCGAGGTCTTCAACCAAGTGCAGGCCATGCCCACCTTCATCTGGATGCTGCGCTGCATCTACGAGACGCAGAGCCAGAAGGTGGGGCAGCTGGCGGCCAAGGGCATCTGCGCTAACTACCTCAAGCTGACCTACTGCAACGCCTGCTCAGCCGACTGCAGTGCCCTGTCCTTTGTTCTGCACCATATCCGCAGTCAGCTTGCCCTTGACCTGGACAACAACAACCTCAATGACTATGGTGTGCAGCAACTGCAGCCCTGCTTCAGCCGCCTCACCGTCATCAGGTGAGGCCACCCGGCATGGGGTGTGGCAGGGTAGGCCAGAGCAGGGGGGACTAGGATTGGCATTGTGGATCAGGAGCTCCTGGGTCCACCATACCTGGGAACGTCCAAGATCACTGATCTGGAACATCCACACTTTTTCTATCTCGGGTAGCAGAGGGCCAGGAGCAAAGCTTCCAGTCAGGTGGAGCTGAGTCAGCACCAGCTGGGTGCCCTGGCACAAACTGCCTAACCTCTCTGAGCCTTAGCATCTTCATGTTGGAAAAGGAGGTCTGCATAACCCTGACAATTATAACCACTAGTGTTGATTAAGAATGGGTGACGTGCCTTACAGATATCACCTAACTTAATGCTCTTAACAAACCTATAAGGTGGGTACTGTTATTGTGTCCATTTTGGCAAACAAGGAAGGGGAAGCACAGAGAAGTTAATAATTTGCTTCATGACACACAGCTTTGACATGGTGGAGCCAGAATGTATACGGAGCCTACCTGTTAAGATTAAGGCTCAGAGATAGTACTCGAAGACTTTCTAGGATGCAGGGCTTTTATTACTGCAGAGACAGAAGACCTTGTGCTAATTGACTTTAGTTACTTTCCGTGATCAAAGCCAGCAGTGCTGTGTGCTGCCAGAGATCCAGTCAAAATGCTGACTCGTGGTAATTTTCCTGTTGGATGGTTAGGGGAAAGAGGCCAACCTGCTTCCTTCTATTAGCATTTCCTGTATAAAACAAAGCTTGTAAATCTCCACAGGGGTTTAAAGTCTCCATTACTTGGCTCATGCATTTCTGCAGAGCAGTAGGGATTTGAAACTGACTCTCCATGATTGTTATACTAGTGCCAGCGTGTAAATTGCTTGGGGAGGTGAGGTGTGGGGAGCTGAAGGCTGTGCTGGCCTGGGAATTGGAAAGCCTGGAGTCTGTTCTCTGTGCTCTGGGCCAGGGACTCTCCCTCCACAGCCTTAGGCAGTCTCACACCCTGTGTCCATCTTATAAAATGGAAACTGCACTATTCTGCTGTCCTCAGGTGCAGTTTTCCTCCACACCAGTGAAATAAAAAGCAGCTCGCAGGAAAGCAGGAGGACACAGGCAACTGTAGGGAAGCATTTTCAGCTCCTTGAGGATATCATTAAGATTATTTTCATCTGAGAATTGGCAAAAACTCAAAATCTTGGTGGCGTAAATAAATTACAATCTTAATTCTTTTATGCAAAAGTCTAGAGGTGGGCAGTTCAGGACTGGTATGGTATCTCGATGGCCATCCGGATTCTAGGCTTTCTGCTTTGTGGCTCTGCTGCCTTTACCATCTGCCTTCATCTCGAAGCCCAAGGTGGCTCTCAAGCTCCAACCATCTAGTTGACATTCTAGCCACCAGGAAGAAGGAAGGGCAAAGAAAGGCACACCCATTTTTTAAAGAAAACTTCTCAGCTATTGGTAATGACACTGCTGCTTAGAGTTCATTGGCAGAACTTAATCATCTGTGCCTACCTAATAAATGGGGATTCTATTGCTGAGAAGGCATAGCTATTGGGAGTAACTAAGTGCCTCTGCCATCCATGGGTGGCCATGCACTGCAAATACACACCTGCCTCAGTAGGAGGCTGGGGTCCAGAGTGTCTGACCTGACTTTTTTTTTATTAAGTCAAATACACATAGATCATGAATACATTCATGCATATGTGGGGTACAATGTGCTGATTTTTTTAAATACAATCTAACGTGGTTACATTAAACCAATCAACATAGCTTTTATCTCATTTACTTGATTATTATGCCAAAACATCTACGTTCTGCATTTTACAGATTTGTCTTGTACCCTTGTCATTTGTGACTCGATTGTTTTGATGTGGCCTAAAAACCATGCTTTTATCTGTTAAGCCTTTTTCTTATTACAGAAGTCAGTAGGTGGACCAAATTTGGCCCATGGGTTATATTTTTTGTATTGTATCTAATAAAGTTTTATTGGAGCACAGGCATGCCCATTTATTGGCTGCTTCACCCTATAGAGTGAAGTAGCTCTGCTGGAAGCCACATAGCCTGCAGAGCCTAAAACATTTGCTATCTGCCACTTCACAGATGAGCCTTGGTTATCACCCCATCCCTGTGCTGTAGTCCACCCTCCAAGCTCACTGAATGATGGAGAAGAGGATTAGGAAGATCAGGGTAGTGGCTTGCAGAGATTCTTTGCTGGTAAAAATACGATTTTGCAATTTTGGGCACATTAAAATTCCCTGCTAGTATAGGGATTTCCCAGAGAAATCCCAGTGTGTGGTTGGCCTTTGTCCAGGAGAAATCCATACTCCCGAAGACCGTCTTTTCCTGTCCCTGGGCTTCTGTGGTGGGAATTGCAGAGGAGTTGGAGAGTGGCCTTGGCAAGCTCTGCCTCTTCTGGTCAGGCTCTAACTGTTTCTTCTTTCTTTCTTTCTTTCTTTCTTTCTCTCTTTCTTTCTTTCTTTCTTTCTTTTTTTTTTTTGAGACAGAGTCTCACTTTGTTGCCCTCAGTTGAGTGTTATGATGTCATAGCTCACAACAACCTCAAATTCTTGGGCTGAAGCAATTCTCTTGCCTCAGCTTCCTGAGTAGCTGGGACTACAGGCACCCGCCACAATGCCTGGCTATATTTTTAGATATAGGGTCTCAATCTGACTCAGGCTGGTCTCAAACCTGTGACCAGAGTGCTGGGATTACAGGTGTGAGCCACCACGTCTGGCCCAGACCTCTGGCTGTTTCTCCATGACATTTCCCACCCCCGACAGTAGGACACCCCCCTTTTCCTGTGCTGAGCCAGGTTTAGCTCATGGCTTTCTAGATAGGGGAGGCTGTTGGCATTTTGGATGAGAGTTCTGGTAGGATCCGTTCTACATGTTGCAGGACACCTAACATACTTGGGCCCACCTACAAGATGACAGGCATCTTCCCCCCACAATAACCACTAAAGGCAGTTCCTCCTATTTCCAAACCCTGTACCCTTCTGTGAAGCAAGAGCCATGTAGGGCTGACACAAGGACATACCCCCACACACCCACGGTATCAGAGGTGGCTGCCCTCTCATGTCCCTTGTACCCTGTGTAGTATGGCAGTCTTGCTGATGGGCTTGTTGGGTGGGTTTGGCAGCCCTTCAATGTCCAGGCCTTTTGCAGGGCCCATTGGGCTGACCACTACAGCCATCCTCACAGGAGGCGTCTGTACCTGGGAAAACTCCAGAGCCTGTAGTCTTCTGGATCCTTGTGGATCAATCAATGCTCCTTCATATGAGCACCTGCCCTAATTCACAATTATCTTTGCCATTTTGTTTCAGACTCAGCGTAAATCAGATCACTGACAGTGGGGTGAAGGTGCTATACGAGGAGCTGACCAAATACAGAATTGTGACATATTTGGGGTATGTCTTTCTCAGGATTTCTGGGCTGAGTCCCTGGTCAGAATACAGAGCAGCGGGGAATCACCAGTCACGTGGGCTATGGGGGGGACTGAGCGGGCACAAGGCTGAAAGCACACTGCACTGGGAGCTGGGGTCCTGGGCTCTGCCCTTGACTCTGGCCAGTCACGAAGTCTTGCTGAGCCTTGGCCTCCCCTCTGGTCAAATTGGGACCCTAATAGAGGCCAGCGGTGTTATAACTGGTTGTCGGGGTCTGCAGAGAGAGAATACAGGGGGTGCATTTAATGAAAGTTAGTCTTTGCTGTCACGGGTCCATAATCTCTTATCTAGCACCCTCAAGGCGAGGCGCAAATCAGGATTCATAGTATATGCTATATAGTGGGGTCTAGGGCAATACATTTTCAGAGATTTTAATATTTCTACCTCAAATGTATGAATATTCAAACAAGTGGGGCGAGTAAAGACCATACACAGCTCCACAATTGTTGCTGAAAGAGTCATGAAAAACTTTGGCTTTTCAGAGCTTTGGGACTTTGGGGTTTGAGATGAGGGATTTGGGTGCTCCCCAGCCCAGTGGCCACTGCTGCCCTGTGAGCTGTGGCAGATGTTCAGCTGCTTTGGGCCCCAGCTGCCTCTGCAGCAAAATAAGAACACAGAAGCAAATAGTCCCAGGCTGCCCTCAGGTTTGCAGGAGTGTGTGACTGAGGAGGCCCGAAACTCAGTGGAGTTTCTTCTTTCCACCTCTCTCTGCCTGGTTGTCCAGGTGGCATTGAGTGACAAGGTGGCAGAAAGGTAGACGTTGAGAAGACTTTCAGAGAGAAACTTGCCCCCGGAGGTGCTGAATGTAATCACAATTGAATAAATACCCATCACCTGCTGGTTCTGTGCCAGGGCTTGCATTATGTCATGTAATCCTCAAAATAGCCTTGCAAGGGCTCTACAGGATCTGACAATTAAGTTCAAGAACTCGCCACCCTGTGCTTATGTTGGCAGCACTGTACAAACAACTCGGAAGGTTTCATAGCCTGTATCAGGGTCACGCTGCTATATCCGTGTCGACGTGGGGCAGTTTCTTGCTGAGTGGCGTTCGTTATTATTATTGTATGTTTTTGTGTGCCGTCATGAGCATGTTGGAGCCTGAATTAGAGGAATGAACAAAGATTAAATTTCTTGTTAAACTTGGCAAGAGTGGAAGTGAAATCAGGGGCATGTTAACCCAACTTTATGGGGATAAGGCCATGAAGAAACGGGAGTGCACCAATTGATTAAACTGAGAGGTGAGAGAGTGTCACTGATGAAGAGAGTTCAGGGTGGTCAGTAATAAGCAGAATTGATGAAAACACAGCAAAAATTCATTGAATTGTGTGTCAAAATTATCAGCTGACTGCGAGAAGCATAGCAGACCAAGTAAACATCAGTAGAGAAACAAAAATCTTAAATGAAGTGTTGGCATGAGAAAGGTGTGGCTCTTGTATCACAACGCTGCACCAGCTCCCGTGACATGTCTGAGACGGTGTTTTATCCAGTAAACAAATAACTGCAATTAGGACAAACTCCCTAACATGATCTGGCCCCCAACGACTTTTTCTTTTTATGCAAAGATAAAGGAAATATTGAAAGGAAGACATTCAGGACATCAAAGGTAATACAATGACGGTTCTGATGGCCCTTCAAGTACAAGAGTTCCAAAATTGCTTTGAAGGGCAGACTAGGCACTGGCATGAGTGTACAGTTTCCCAAGGGGAGGACTTCAAAGGTGACCATAGTGATACTCAGCAATGAGATGGGTAGCACTTTTTCTAGGATGAGTTCATGAACTTAATTGTCTGACTTCCTATCATGATGACCCCTATATTAGAAATGGATTAACCAACACACAGAGGTGTTAAATAACTTGTCCCAGGCCATAAAGATGGGGAAAGTGGTAAAGCTGGTCTTGAACCCAGCCTGTGAGACCCCAGAGTCCCAAACTCTGGTCTCCATGGATTCTCCCTGTAACCCCAACTTTGGGAATTAGTAGAGAGTATATACTCACATAAAAATACTCAAGGTTATTAAAATGACATGGAGTGTTGGAAAGTCTTGTGACTGTGCTTTCTCTCAAAGTTTATACAACAACCAGATCACTGATGTCGGAGCCAGGTACGTCTCCAAAATCCTGGATGAATGTAAAGGCCTCATGTACCTGAAGTAAGTGGGGTAGGTGTGCGGGTCCCTTAGTAGCTTCTCTTGGTCACCCCCTTCCTTTGTTCAAAGAATCAATGTCACTATAAAGAGCTTCCACCCTAAAGGCTTCTCCTTGCCCCAGGGCCACATTGGTCAAATTAAGGAGACCAACATGTGAAATATAAGCTGCCATATGGAAGAATTGTGGTCCATGGTTGAGGCTTGAATTCTGGAGTGGCCACTTGTCTTTGGTGGGGGAAAGCTTGGCATTATGATTTCATTAACTCCTGGCAGGAATAAAGGCCTATCACCCTTTCTGGAGTACTAGAGATAAAGCTTTTCCCCCCTAAGGGAATTTCCCATCTAGTTACAAGCGAGAGCTTGATTCCTCGCCTTATCCTAGAAATGCCCTGCCAAGGGTGGCAGAGTGCCAAGCTTGGAGCCTCTGGTCCTGCCTGGCAATGGGAACACAAACCCTGTCCATTGGCAATAAAGTGGGAACTCCCAGGACTGCTGATAGAAGCGAGTGACACCCGCGGGACCACTCAGAGAAGCCCTGGAGCCCTGGGTCTCTGAGTTTCGGCAGAAATGTGGGCCATGTCCTGGGGAGGAACCCTGGCCAGCTGTCTGCAGGGTTTCAGATTCTTCCCAGACAGCGCGTGGCTCCTGTGGGTCCCAGGAGAAAGACCCCACTTCTCAAGAGGGGGCCAAGAAGGCCCTGTGGTGGGAAAGGGTGGCCCATCTTGCAGTCCCTGCGCAGTGGGTGGCTGACTACACATGACTCTCTTTGCAGACTGGGAAAAAACAAAATAACGAGTGAAGGAGGGAAGTGTCTCGCCCTGGCTGTGAAGAACAGCAAATCAATCTTTGATATAGGGTGAGTAGAGGAGGATGCGCATGTGTGGGCATGATACAGCTTGCCTTGTGTGCGTGGGGCCGGCTGGGCTTTTGTACATCAGCATAGCAGAAAGGCGGCTACTGGGTCTGAGGGGGAGAGACAGCAGAGCGCAGTCACCGCTGACGCCCCAGGGGCTTCTGCACGGGAAATGTGGGAAGTCCCTGGATTGACTACAACTTCAAATTGTACAGACATCTAGGTCATGCAAAACTCAGTATTTTCACCACCAGCAAATGAAGGGAGCCCTGTCCTAACCCTACAAAGTTTCTGTGTTCTTCACTTTAAAAATATGATACATCCTCCAGATGCCTTGCTTTTCCTTCAATTTCTTAGCTATGGCAAATAGTTTACTATTTTAACCATTTTTAACTGTATAGTTCAGTGGTATCCAGTATATTCATATCATTATGCAACCATCACCATCATCTATCCCCAAAACTATTTGGGCAGGGGGCGGGAGGGCGGGACAGAGTCTCACTCTGTTGCCTGGGCTAGAGTGCAGTGGTACAGTCTAGCTCACAGCAACCTCCTGCCCCAGCCTCCTGAGTAGCTGAGACTATGGATGCGAACCACCACGCCCAGCTGGTTTTTCTGTTTTCAGTAGAGATGGGCTCTTACTCTTGCTCAGGCTGGTCTCAAACTCCAGTCCTCCAGGGATCCTTCCACCTCAGCCTCTCCAGAACCTTTCTTCTTGCAAAACTGAAACTCTTTATCCATTAGACAATAACATCCCTGCCCCTCTTTCCAGGCCCTGGCAACTGCTCTTCTAATTTTTGTCTCTATTTTTGGCTCTTGACTATTCTAACTATCTTATGTAAGTGGAATCATTTGGTATCTGTCTTTTTGTGACTGGCTTATTTCACTTAGGAGAATGGCCTCAAGGTTCACGTATGTTGTTGCAGGTGATAGGATTTCTCACCTTTTTGAGGCTGAATAATATTCCCTTGAATATGTAACCCATTGTGTGTGTCTGTTCATCCACTGATGGACACCAGGTTGCTTCCATGTTTTAGCTATGCACATGTGTATAAAAATAGATCTTTGAAGCCCTGCTTTCAATTCTTATGGAAGTAAGCCTAAAAGTGAAACAGCTAGATTATATGGTAATTCTATTTTTTTTTTTTTTTGAGACAGAGTCTCACTATTTTGCCCTGGGTAGAGTGCCCTGGCGTCACAGCTCATAGCAACCTTAAACTCTTGGGCTTAAGCGATTCTCTTGCCTCAGCCTCCCAAGTAGCTGGGACTACAGGCGCCCGCCACAATGAGCTGGCTATTTTTTGGTTCAAGTTATCATTATTATTTGGCAGACCCAGGCTGGATTTGAACCCGCCATTTCTGGTGTATGTGGCTGGAGCCCTAGCCGCTGAGCTATAGGTGCTGAGCCTCTAATTTTAATTTTTTGAGGAGTCATCATACTGTTTTCCACAGCAGTGGCTCCATTTTATATTCCCACCAATCATGCATAAGGGTTTCAGTTTCTCCACATCCTCAGGGACACTTGTTATTTTCCGTTTTGCCATCCTGATGTGTGTGAGGTGGGTTTAGATTCTCAAGGCTTTTCTTCTTCTTCTTTTTTGTTTTTTGAAGACAGAGTCTCAGTTTGTCACCTTCAGTAGAGTGCCATGCCGTCACAGCTCACAGCAACCTCAATCTCTTGCCTCAGCCTCCCAAATAGCTAGGACCAGCTATTTTTCGAGACGAGGTCTTGCTCTGGCTTGGGCTGGTCTCGAACCTGTGAGCTCAGGCAATCTACCCACCTTGGCCTCCCAGAGTGCTAGGGTTACAAGCATGAGGCACCTCACCCAGCCTAGATTCTCAAGTCTTTTTAAAGCTTTTTATATCACTAGAATTTTTTATTAGATCATAAAATGAACACAAGTAATTTTGTTTAGAAACCGTGGGAAAAATGAAAAATAATAAAAATCATCTCAGAAAATAATTATTGTTAACATCTGATGTTTATTAAGCTCTACTACTTTCTCTCTCTTCCTTTCTCCCTTTCTCTATTATTATTATTTTTAATATAGTAGAGGTCTATGTATGTGTAGACTTGGATCCTTCCTTTTTCACTTAGTCTCATGAGTAGCTTTCCATTTTATTAATAATTGAATGCCATTCAGTTGAATGGTACACTGACACGTACACAGCAAAATGCTGGAACTCTTATTCTGGCTTTAGTGAGCCATACCCTGAAGGATAGAGGCAGGCAGCTTGCTTCCTGTGAGTGTGCTGCTGAGGCAGCTCCGAGGCTGTCCAGAGGGTCAGGCAGACTGGCTGTGCTCCCTGTAGACTATATCCTTTCATCCTGGTAGGAATAGCTGACACTTTTTGTAGGCCAGGCACTGTTCTAAGAGCTTTGCATCTATTAACTCAGGGACTCCTCAGAGCAGTTCTGTGAGGGGATGCTCTTCTTAGTCTCATTTTATAGGTGAGGTGACTAAGGTTCAAGAGATTATGTAATTTGCTCAAGTTTGCCCAGGTAATAGCGCATCATCTTTCCATGCAGATTGTTTCAGCCAGACATTCCTAGATGCAACTCTCCACCAAGACAGCAGCAGTCTGCAGAGCTTGGTTGGGTAAGGTCCCATTTCCATGAAAGGAGCATTGCTGATACAGTTTCTTTGTGTCATGGAAGACGGTGTCTTTGGGAATGTCTCTGCCCCTACTCAGAGTTGAACAGATGTTGGGGAGCCCAGCACCTGCACACGGCCCTCCCTTCGGGATGCGGCAGACCTCTATGTTCTGCTGGAGATACTCAGGTAGTTTCTTTCTGAGATCGTTACCAGCTCAGGCTCACAGACTCGCAGCTCTCTGAAAGCTCAAAGCCAGACTTGGTCTCTAATAGTGCAAATTGCAGTGCCTTCTGTTTATAAGGCTTCTACTGCTCCTTCTTCTGACTTTGCCCTTTGAATTTGATATTCAGAGCAACCAGGTAGGGGGCCAGTGTGAGGAAATAGAATCTAGGCCACAGCTCCAGGGACTGAGCAGAAAATCTGCCTGTTGAGTATGAATCTAGTTGTGGCCACTGGCAGATATGAGCTGGCTGTTTTAGGGGAGCTATTTTTTACTGTCCTGCCTCTGCTCTCAGGATGTGGGGCAATCAAATCGGGGATGAAGGAGCAAAAGCCTTCGCAGAGGCCCTGAGGAACCACCCCAGCCTGACCAACCTGAGGTAAGTGCTGCCTTCTGAGGCCTGCTCCCCCCAGAGCTGCCTGGTTACTCAAAGCTCTTGTAGGTATGATAGAGAGGAGCTGAGGGGGCAGGATGATTGGCTTTCCTAAAGGGGAAGGATTTATGTGTGTATTTTTCTTTCTTTAAAAAAAAAAAATTTTTTTTTGGTGCGCAAGCCTACAGTAAAGTACATTATTCTTAAGTGTTTAGCTCAATCACTTCTGCACACACTACTATAACCACTGTACACACTACTGTTTGCACTCAACACCACCCAAGTTGAGACATAGGACAATTCTAGCCCCTCTGCCATCTTTGCACACCACTGGAAGGCTGGGGAAGCAATTCCTAAATCCAGATAAAGCTTAATGGGATACTGGGCAGCAGGTTCCTGCTGCTTCCTCATTCTCAGGACAGTGTTGGAACAGAGGGGACCCTTCCTCTCTGTAAACAGAGCTGCTCCTTTCCAGCCCTTCTTAGGCCTCTGCCCAAATCCCAGGTCCTCGGTATCTCCAAGGCTCTGCCACTGGCCTTCCTGCCACTGAGAGAGAATCCAAGATGGTGGACTCTCAGCCTCCTCAGCCTCCAGCTTGAACATAAAACCAGAGGTGCTGAGCCCAGTCTACCGTTCTGCAAGCAGGCCTCGCTGACGTCCCGTTTCCTATCCTGCCTGTCTTATAGCAGTCACGCACCTGTCCTCATGTTCTAGGCGTCACCTCTGGAGCCACAATGCCTGGGCAACTGCCAACATGCCCAAGCACTTTAGTCTCCTGCCTCAAGTCAGCCCAGGCAGGTGCCATCTCCAGGCAGAGTTGAAGCCAAGATCGAATGTAAATGTGTCTCTGATTACTCACCCAAATGTTTTCCTTCCTAGTCTTGCATTCAATGGCATCTCCACAGAAGGAGGAAAGAGCCTCGCAAGGGCACTACAGCAGAACACGTGTCTGAGAATATTCTGGTAATAGCCAGAGTGATTTTGAAAGTTTGGGTCTCGGGAGTTATTCTAAGGGCTGTGCATAGCCTGGAATCCTAACTGAAAAGGGACCTCTTAACTGGAAAGACTCTAGGCCTTTCAAAGTTGGGTTGATAATTTAATTCTCCTAGAAGAGAAAAAGCTATCTCAAGAAGCACAAGCAGGCACAGGAGGGGGAAGTGGGCCCCAGGAGCACAGGTGTGAGCTTTGCCACCCTGGGATGGAGGAGAACTGGCAGGCTGGCCATGTGAGCTGCCAGGCGTATCCTTGGAACGCTCAGATATGCTTTGGCAGAGGCCAACTTTCGTGCACCAGGCTCAACATTTTTTCCCTTCCTCCTCTTCAATTGCCTTCCCCAGGCAGGCTGCTCCTTCTCCACATCTCCAAGTCAAAGTTAGCCTTCTTGCTCCAGCTCACTTGTCACCTGTCAGCAGAAGCCCACAGTCCTCTCCCTCTCTGTACTCCTGGGTATTTGTTAAGTAGATGTTGCCTCCTGAAGGTGTTTCATGTTTTCGTTTTTTCGTCATTTAACCTTCTAGTTTTCTCTATTTATATTTTATTTCTTCACCTGTATCATAAATTCCTTACAGGCGAGGGAGTTGCACACCTCTCTGTATCATCTCGCAACTCAGTGCTCATTTAATTTTGCTAAATTAGCTACTAAAAATAATAAAAATGTCATCTTTACAAGAATTCTGATGCTAAACCTACAGGCCAGCATTTTTAATTCTTTCCCCTCAAGTGAACTTTAATATTTTGAAAGTATGTGCTTTTTTGGAAAAAACAAAAAGTAAGACACAAGCCTAAAAAATAGGAAGCGAAAGTTCTTCTTTCATGCTTTCTAAAATAACCTTTCCTTCTAGCTTTTTGTTCTATGTATATCCAAATACATACAAAATAGGATAGCATTTAGCAAGTGGCTTAAAAAATATCTTAACCATACATCATACGGATTTTACATGACCCTTTACATCCAAGTCTCAATCTTGACTCTGTTGACCTTCTGGTCCAAATCATTCCCTGCTGTGAGCAGCTGTCCTGTGCATCCTAGCATGTTTAGCAGCCCTCCCGACCTCCGCCTCCCAGTTGTGATGATCAAAACCATCTCCAGATGTGGCCAAGTGCCACATGGAGAGGGAAAACACCCCTGTTGAAAAACACTACTGTCCAGGGATGGTAATAATGTCACTACCCAGAACTTCTTGAGTGTTGACTTTATGCCGCCTGCTATTCTAAGTCTTTCACAAATGTAATCGACTCACTCAATTTCGCAAGCACCCAGTAAGATCTATACTATTACTGTGCACACTTACCAGTGAGAAAACTCAAACTCAAAGAAGTTAGACCCAGTGCCGAAGGTCAGCCTGCTCGTGAGTGATGCAGACATGGAGCTTTCCCCAAGGCCACGCTGTTGCCTCTTTCTTTATTCTTCCTCATTTTCTCTGGGGGCTGCACAGCATCCCTTTGAATGGATATTCACCATTTTTTGGTATCACTTGTTGCTATTGATTCTTAAATGTGTTCACATTTCACTTGATGACAGAGAATATACCACAGCACATACTGCAATGTTTAAAATCTTGTGTGTATGTGACATCCTTACAGACTGCAGGGTAAATTTCTTGAAGCCTAACTGCCTTAAAGTGAAATATTTTATTTTATGTTTAATTTAATTTTTTATTATTTTGAAACAGAGTCTCACTCTGTTACCTTGCTTAGAGTCCCATGGCATCATAGCTCACAGCAACCTCAAACTCCTGGGTTTAAGCAATCCTTTTGCCTCAGTCTCCTGAGTAGCTGGGACTACAGGTACCCACCACAACACACAACTAGTTTTTCTAGTTTTAGAAGAGACGGGGTCTCACTCTTGCTCAGGCTGGTTTTGAACTCCTGAGCTCAGGCAGTCCACCCACTTTGGCCTCCAAGAGTGCTACGATTACAGGCGTGAGCCACTGCACCTGGCCAAAGTGAAACATTTTTAATATTTGGATAGACACAACCAAATAGACCTTTAAGGAACGATTTTTTTTAATGTTCTTTCTGTTTCATTCTTCATCCTAATGATTCTTTCATCTGCTTGCACAAGAGGGTCCAACCCTATGTATGCTGGAGTTTTAGGGCTTTATCCAGATCACTTCTGTTTTTAAGAACAATTGAGAAACCTCCTGAACTTCCAGTCACTTAACTTGGGTTCTTCACCACTGGCCTCAGAGCAAAGCATTAAACACATTTAACGTGCAGTTCTGGGTTTTCACGCTGCTCTGGATCACTTGCTACCAGCAGTGATCCAGAGTCTGAGGATGTGAGGAGCCCTGAGAAGCACTGGCCCCTGATTTTCTGTGGGCCCCCATTTTCTGTGAAATCTGAAGCTCAGTGAAAGTGGGGCAGGGAAGAGGGTGCGTCAGCAGGCAGCAGGGCTCAGAAACAGGCGCTGGGGTGTAGGATTTGCACTAGAAATGAATCCCTGTTTATCTTTCGTGGGGGTGAGGGGCCTGGCTTGGCTGAGTTCTCAGCAAGCGACCAGCTGCAGAGCTGGCAGCCCTCAGCTGGGACCCGCTCCTGTGAACTCATTAAACAGTGTGTACCAAGTAGACTCTCCTGAGCAAACACTTCCTTTTTTTTTCTAGGCTGACCAAAAATGAACTCAACGATGAAGTGGCAGAGAGTATGGCAGAAATGTTGAAAGTCAACCAGACGTTAAAGCATTTATGGTAATTTCAGAACTGTGCTGCTTTTTAAAAATATTTTTTGAGATAAAATTTACATACCATAAAATTTGCCCTTTTAAAATGTGCAAGTCAGGAGTTTTTAGTACATTCGCAAGGTTGTGTGACCAACATTTAATTCTAGAACATCCTCACTGCTGCCCCCAAACCCCTGCAGGCATTTAGCAATCACTCCCCATCCTTCTCCTCCCACCCCCCCACCCCCGTGCCTGGCAACCTCTAACCTGCTTTCTGTGTCTGTGGACCTGCCCCGGGCTTGTCATATAAATGGAACCAGGCAGTGATCATCTGTCTCCATGTTTTTCATAACAGTTCTCAAGGTTCATCTACACTGTATCAATACTTCACTGCCTTTTAATGGCTAAACGATAATCCATTGCATGGATATTTAACCTTCTGTTTATGCATCAGTTTATGGACACTGGGTCCTTTCTACTTTTAGACTGTTATGTATGTTGCTACTGTGAACATTCACGTACAGGTTTTGTATGAACATATGTTTTCATTTCTCTTAGGATTAGAATTGCTGAGTCCTAAGGCAACTCTTGGTTAAGCGTTTTGAGGAACCTAAGTAGTGGCACTGTTTTACACTCTCACCAACAACATATGTGGGTTTCAAGTTCTCCCTGTCCTCACCAATATTGTCCATCTTTTTGAACCTAGTCATACTAGCGGGTGGGGACTAATATCATTGTGTGGTTTTGATGTGTATGCGCCTGACGGCTAACGAAGTTGAGTGTCTTTTTATGTGCCTGCTGACCGTCTGCGTAACTTTTTTTGAGAAATGTTTCCATATACTTTGCCCCCCTCCCTTCTGAGGCAGGCTCTTGCTCAGTCCCCCAGACTGGAGTGCAGTGGCCTCATCATAGCTCACTGCTATCTCAAACTCCTGGGCTTAACTGATACCTCTGGCCTTAGCCTCCTGTGTAGTTGGGACTATAGGCGTGTACCACCACACCAGGCTAGTTTTTCTACGTTTTGTAGAGATGAGCTCTTGCTTTTGCTCAGGTTGGTCTTGGACTCCTGACCTCACATGAGCATCCCCACTAAGGCTCACAAAGTACTGGGATTACAGGTGTGAGTGGCCTTTGCCCATTTAAAAATTGGGTTGTCATTTTATTATTGAGTTGTAGGAGTTCTTCATACATTCTGGGTGCTAGATCAGGATTGGTAGACATAGGACTTGCAAATATTTTCTCTCTGGGATTATTCCTTTTCTTGATAGTGACCTTTGAAGGGCATAAGTTTTTACATTTTGATGAAGTCCAATTTACCCATTATCGACTTTTTCTTTGGTTGCTTGTGCATTAGGTGTCTTATCTAAGAAATTATTGCCTAATCCAATCCAAGGTCACAAAGATTTACACCTAAGTTTTATTTTTGTTTTTTTGAAACAGAGTCTCACTCTGTTGCCCTGGGAAGAGTCCTGTTGCATCATAGCTGACAGCACCCTCAGACTCCTGGGCTTTAGTGATCCTCTTGGCTCAGCCCCCCTGTAGCTGGAACTACAGGCACTTGCCACAATGCCTGGTTAGTTTTTTCTATTTTTGGTAGAGAGAGGGTCTCACTCTTGCTTAGGCTGGTCTTGAACTCCTGAGCTCAAGCAATCCACCCACCTCAGCCTCCCAGAATGCTAGGATTACAGGCGTGAGCCACCGCGCCCAGCCTACACCTAAGTTCTCTACGTCTTACAGTTTTGTTGTCACATTTAAGTCCACAATCCATTTGGAGTTAACGTTTGTCGACAGTACAGAGCAGGAATCTAACTTCACTCTTTTGCACGTGGATGCCCAGCTGCACAGCACCACGTGTTGGAAAGACTGTCTTTCCCTATTGAATGGTATTAACACCCTTGTCAAAAATCAATTGACCATACAAGTATGGGTTTATTTCTGGATTCTCTATTCTAGTCCATTGATCTGTAAGTCTATCCTTATGCCAGGACCATACTGTCTTAATTGCTGTAGCTTTGTAGGAAGTTTTGAAATCGGAAAGTCTAGGCCCTCCAACTTTGTTCTTCTTTCTCAAGATTGTTTTGGCCATTCTGGGTCCCTTGCATTTCCTATGAATTCAGGAACGCCTTGTGCATTTCTGTTAAAAAAAAACCCCTCAGACTGTGCTACTTTTACATGTTTTTTTTTCTTTGCCTTTTAGCCTGCAGACTTCTTTTATGCCCTTCTGTAGGCGCCAGGCCAGCCCCTCCAGGGGAAGTAGAGGTAGACAGAGGCCAGTGACAGAGTAAGGACTGCTCTGTGCACGCCCAGGCCATACTAGCCCTAGTGGAGGCAGCCCCAGCTGCTGTGCCTGGACACTGCCAGGCTTTTCAGGGACATTGGGTGCTCCTCTCTTTCCTGGCTTCTTACCAAGTCTTGGCTGGAGGCAGCCTGCTCTGCCCTTAAGAAGACATGGGTGGTGGCAGTGGCAGCCACAATAAAGGTGGTACCTAAAAAATAGCAGAGTTTAACTGAATGCAGAACTCTGTGTTCACTCCTGGGTTCTATTTTTCTTCCTTTTGCAAAAATGTTCAGTGTGCTTGTGGTCATGCTCATTGGAGGGTCATTATTTCTGCCACTGAGCCCAAAGGTTCTAGCCTTGGGGGCGGGAGGTATGTGGCTGGGAGCACAGTGGTCCTGCATGCTTGGTCAGTGACAGTGACAAGAGCTCCCTTCCCTGGGGTACTGTGCCCAGTACATGCCACTTGCTGAAACCTCACATGTCCAGTGTGGTCTCACTCTTATAGTTATTCTGACTTTACAGATTAGACAATTGAGGCACAGATAGGTAAGTTTGTCTGTAGCTGAAAAGGGAGGTGTGGGGGGTGTGAGGAGCGTCTAAGCACTATGGACACTGCCTCTCTGGGGGGCAGGCCCCTTCCCTGGTTAGGGCTTCCTTTTTGGGTCAGAGCCCAAGAATTCTGTTAGTAGCAGCCTATTGTACAGACAGGAGTAGGGAGTGAGCCTGTGGTGAAGCGCCTTGCTTTTCTCTAGCTACCTGGAAGGAGAGGACAAAGCCCCTGTTCTGTTCTTAGCATTTGTTGTTCAGACTGGTGGTCCCCAAACATTTTCGATTGGGTATCTCTGCAATGAAAAATGTCAAACACATACACACACACACATATATAATCTACATGTGCATATACAAAAAAATTAGAAATGTTTAAAGCTGTCCTTTATTCTGGTGGATCTGATATAGATGCTTTGAGCCAGATGAAAAGTCACACGGATTCAGTTCTTCCCCTGACCACCCGGCTTCCTCTCCCCCCATAACCTCCCAACTTCCTAACAAAAGGCAGATTTAATGCAGTATTATGTGTCTGACATGGTATGTTCTTCTTTCAGGCTTATCCAGAATCAGATCACAGCCCGGGGGCTTGCCCGCCTGGCAGATGCATTGCAGAATAACACTGGCATCATGGAGATTTGGTAAGATCCCTCCACTGCTGAGTACAGTAATAACAACAGGATTATTTGCTTAGCACCCTGAGTCTGTGCCAGGCAGAATGCAGGGCCGTTCCCATTTCTTCCTTCAACAACCCTGTAAAGCAGTGGTGGTATCTCCATTTTACTGGTGTAGAAACTGAGGCCCAGACCAGTGAAGTCAACTTTGCCCAAGAGCACCACAAGAGGGGAAACTAGAATTCAGCCCAGACCATAGTCCCCGTGCCCCTACCCTAGTCCTGACCTTGTCTATCCTTGGCGGGAGTGGGGGTTGGTGGTGGTGGTGGTGGTAACAGCGGAGATGGTCTATGCAGAGTTTCCTGCTGCAAACAAATCACCCTGGGACTCAGGCCTGAGAGCTGGATGTGCTGGCCGGGAGTTTGGAGCTCATTTTCCCCCTTTCAGGCTTCTTGGGATTTATAAGACACTTCCAGGCTACATTTGAGTTGATTTGTGCTCTTTTCTCTACTTCTTTTTTTCTGCTTTGAGAACTTCCTTACACTAATAAAACTCCAGCATTTGCTCCCCTGTGATGCTGAGTCCCATTTCACTTCTTGCCCCCCACTCAGAAGCCCCCTTAATAATGTCTGGGTATTGGGAGGGGCCCTGGGGGGTGTTTTCTGGTAATGGTCACTATGTGCACCTGGCACCATGTTAAGGGCTGGAATGTGGTGGGTAATGTGACAAAAGGGGCCTGATGGCTTTGAAGTTCTGGCTGTGCACCTTAACCCAGACTCGGGAATGCTTGGGAAACTGTTCTCCACCTCAGGGACTGAGACAGCCCTGCCCAGAGTGAGGCTCGAGCCCATGTGGATGCTCATGGGCCAGAGACGCTATCTGTTCAACAGCCACTGTAACTCTTCTGAGATCCATGAACCCAAACCCTCAGCTCAGGGGGTTGTTACTCATTCATGATTTTGTCCCTTCATGATTGGGGAGAAGAATTTCATAGCCAAAATACAAAAAAATCAAAAGATACAGCTCTATGTGTTTTTAAACTTGGTTTTTAATGCTGGTGGGTTGCAACCACCATTATTTAAAAATGAAATTGAAAAAAACAGACTACCAGGATGCATGGTAAGGAGAAATATTAGTTAATTAATCTTATCTCAGACTTGCATGTGGATATGTGCATGTTTACCTAGATGCTGGTTCACTGTGTAAGATGTAATTCTTGTTGGGGAGTCTCATCCAAAAGCTTTTTGAAAAGCACTGTCATAGGGAATAGAGCAGAGATCCAAACAGCGCTCCACCCTGCACCGTGGCTTGTGTTGTGTGCCTGCTCTGCAGCGTGAGAGGCCTGTGAGAGCAGCGGGACTTTTCTCCATGGCCAGCTGGGACAGTGTAAAAATCTGCAGCCGCTGTAATTCCTCAGGCTTCAAAGTATTCATTTTCCCCTCCCAAGAGCCATTATTTCTACACAAGGAACTATACATATTTCAGTAGGGCCAGGAGTGTTTCGCATCAAGGTGTGCTATCCAGAGCTGCATAAAAACTGTTTCAGGTGGAGGGGAGAGTGAGAGAGGCCAGGACAGGCAGCCCTGGAGCTGCACTTGGGAGCACCTTCACTCCAGTTCCTGACTTGTCCTGGGAGCTGCCAGAGCATGTTCCTCTGCATGACTTCATGGGGCTGGGCTCTGGGAAGGCGCTGGCCTGGCCGGCCCTGTCTAGGGACTGCTACACCAGGCCCTGGGGCTGAGATGAAGCTGACAGGGAAGCCAGGGTTCAGGGAGCAGCTCCCCTTGGAGCTAGAATGAAGACATCTCCTTGGACACTTTATCTGTATGGACTTTTATTTTTACCTTATTTCTGACTAAAATGAACTTGGAGTCCCTTGGTGAGTTCTGCCTTCAAAGGCAGAAATTAAGAGGTGTTCAATGACCTGGACTTCGTAAATGATAGCATTCATCACACTCCATCACAGCTTTCTGTGAGAACACCTCCTTCAGACTGTGAGCTCTTGGAGGGCAGGGCTTAAGTAAGGTTGGAGTGTGTCCCCGTGTCACTTATCTGCTGAATAACAAAATGTTTGAGCACCAAGTCACTGTGCTAGCACCATAACTTCAACGGTGAACAAAATAGACCTGGCCTCATGGGTTCACCAGCTAGTGAGATGCACATTAAAGAAAAAACGATCATTCACATAATTATTTAATTACAATGTGATGGGTGCTATAAAGGTAAGGCCAAGAGGGAACAGATCCAGATGAGGTTTCAGACAGGTCTCCTTGTGAAAGTGGCATTTACACTGAGCCATGGAGGACAAGGAGCAGAAGTTCTGGGGCAGAAGGGAGCATGGCGTCCTTGAAGAGCTCCAAGAAGCTGATGGACGCTGGGGTTCAGACAGTACAGAAGAAGGGGCAGCAGGAAGGAGCCTGAGAGACCGGCAGAAATGAGACCCTAAAAGATCTGTGGATCATAGTCTTCATCCTGAATGCAATGGAAAGTCATTGAAGGGTTGGAAGCGGAAGGGGGTGTGATCAGATCTACACTGTGAAGAGACCACTCTTGGCTCTTCTAGGAAGCTGGATTTGAGGTGGCCAGGGTACATGTAAAGAGACCTGTCAGGATATTGTAGCGATCCAGGAAAGAGACAATGGGTGCTCACATTAGGATGGTGGGGCTGAAGGTACAGAGCATTTCCAGGGAGGCATTCTAAGGATGTTAGGAATTAAAGTAGAACTTCACAATGGAAGGAATACGAGGACACCAGGACACCTTCCTAACTCACGCAACTGGATGAGAGTGGTACCCTTCATCAAGCCAGGGAACCCTGGGGAGGTGTGGGCACTTTTGAGATGCCAGAGTGGGGACTGTCTTAATTGAGATACCAGGTAGGTAACTGGCTCCACTGACATATGAGTAAGGCTAAGGTATTGATGAGATCACCTGGGGAATAGGGACTATCCCCAAACCTGGAGGAAATCCAAGATTTAGTGGTCTCATGGGGAGTATACGGAAAAGGAGACTGATGGGGAGTGCCCAGATTAAGGAGAAAGATCCGAGAGCATGTTGTCAGACCAAGGGAAGGGAAGGTGGCGCTTCAGGGAGGGTGAAGGCAGGACAGCCAAATGCCTGTGAGGGCCAAGGAAGACAAGACCTGAAAAATGTCATTAAATTCAGGTTTACGGAGGCTATTGGTAGCTGGAGAGGATAAATAGTAACTTGAAAGAGCTATTTTAATCAGGCGTGTTCCTCAGTGTCTGCATCATGTGTTGGGCAAGTGAGTGTGGGGAAGGGGTAGATAACAGCCCCTAACGTTTACCTGGGTTCTTTGTTTTCCTCCTTTTCAACAGCTTACATGGAAACCCGATAAAGCCAGAGGAGGCCAAAGTCTTTGAAGATGAGAATCGGCTGATCTGTTTCTGAGAGGACACTTCTCTGTGCATGGGGGCTTCACTCTGGGAGGGCTTCACCCTGGGAGGGCTTCAGCGCAAGTATGTGCACCTTTTTCCTGCCAGATGCCTTCCGGGGGGCCTGCCGAGGGGGCTGCCAACCGCCTGTCCACACACTCCGACTGCCACCTCCCTAAATAGCTGTCTCGTTTTGCAGAAAAGAAGAGGGAGCTATTGTGGTGTCTGTAAATATGCTTAAGAAGAGACTTCATCGCATACCCAAAATTATTTTTATCTAAAGTGAGAGGAAAAGGCTTTGGGAAGGACAGAGGTGGCCAGCCTCAGCTCATGCAGACACCTACCGTAAGGACTGCAGCAGCTCCACTGCTGATTTCATTGAAGAGTTAAAGACCTGGTGGAAGTTGGTGCCAAGATTTTTGGAAAAAAGGTGCTTGACAGATAAGTGTTACACATGATCTGTCCCCTTCCTCCCCAGTGCCCGCCCATGTATCGTATTATCCCACTTCACAGCTACAGCTGTGAATGGGATGGACAGTGTGGTAGCTGGTATCAAGAAAGGGACTCATCACAGGCTTTTCATCTTAGTCTTGGAGTTTGCCTTCTGACAGGGATCAGAGGTCTCCCTCTTGCTAGCCTAAGAGAAAGAGCAATCCCTTCACAATGTCAAGCTTCCACTCAGGGCTCTACATAGCTAGGCTGACCTCTACTGGAAGGGTGGACACTATGGGGGCCCTGCCTTAGGAGGGAGAGTCAGTATCTGCTGACCAAAATGAACAAGGCTGGCTTGCCTTTGTGGCCCCAGTATGCAAATGGAAGCTTTTCTCATCTCTTTAAGAACAATTTCTTTTTATCTCCCTTGTGTCTTGAGAAAGGGAAGTCTCTTCCTGCTCCCCTGAGCAGCTGGAGAATGACTGAACCAGAGCCAAGACTCAGGGACTTGGCTGGGAACTTGGTAGAGAGAATATTGGTCAGATACCCCTCACCACGGTGGGGGAATGATGGAGCTTGGTGGGTGATGGTGGGGGCGTATGACATCACTAGGTAACCTGTCCTTGTGCCAACTCATTTGTTAATAAAATACTAAAAAGGCTTGCTACTTCTATCTAATGGGCTAATTCTGGAATCTTCTGAAGAGACTCGGCCGGGTGAGCATGCGTGTGTTCCTGTGCCCCCTCCTGACTCCCACACTGGGGAGCTCCAGGGCAGTGTGCTGTGAGGAGAGGTCTGATCACGGGAGACCAGAGGTATCAACACCATGATTCTTTGAAGGCCTCTCTAACATGAGACAAAAAAAGGCCCAGGCAGCATCTGGCCTCTGAATCTATACGGGTGGAGTCAGAGGCCAGGACGGGTCAAGTGGGCCACATTTCGGGCCCTCACCCCTGCACTGTTGCAGGCTGGTTTGCACTGTTGGGTAGAGGACCCAGGTGGCCAAGTAGCACTAAACTCATGGGCAGCACACAACACGGGAAGGCATGCAGACCTCTGAGTTCTCAAGAGTCTGTAGGACATCTTGGTTGATTTGGGGAACGGAACTACAGCTCCCTTATTTTCATACATGTCACGTCTATGCTAACTTGGAATTTACAAAAAAAAAAAAAGCTGTGTAAAGTCACCATGTGGACCCATGGCATTTGCCCAGTGGAGCTCCTGCTATTTCCTAGCTGCGGGGATTTGGGCCAGTCTCAGACTGTCAGAATCTGTTTTTCCTCCTTGAAAAGTGGGAATCTGAGAGCCCTGACTCACGAGGTTTTGGGCAGATTAAACGAGAAGTTATGGAATGTAGTTGGCACAGGGTCGCTGCCCTACATGCACCAGTTATTACAAACCTGGCCCTTCTCATTTCTGCTCACTGCAGGTCTCCCAGTTTGTCCCCTTCTCACTCCCCTGCAGAGGGAACTTTCCAATAAGGCCAAATATGGGACTGGAAGTTCTCAAAGTGAAACCCCAAAATATTCGAGGGCAGGCTTCCTGCACTATCTTAGCTTTGTCAGTGAGAAACACAGTTATTAGTTTTCCTCATTATTACTGAAGAGTGCTGCCATGTAAGGGTCAACCTGGTGAACACAGGCAGGGCACCCATGTCTTCACTGCATAACAGAGATCAGAACCAGGCCACGAGACTTTGCCAGGTGTCCTGACTTCAACTGCTGAAATGGAAGGAGGATCTGGTCGCTGATACTTTGGTGCACTTCTAGGTCTGTTTCTGGTAGCAAATTATTCACTTACAGGCAAAATCCTTGCTCTGGAGCTGAAAGGCAGAGCCATGACCCTTAGCCCAGGTCCATGGAGAAGAATTTTAATGCAAGTGGAGCTGGTATATGAGAAGGCCGACACTCATGTTAGCACGTAGATAGGTATAAACATGGGCTTATAGCAGAGCTGTAGGCTCGGGGCCCAGCCAGTACTGCTCTCTCAGCCTTGAGATGGAAGGAACTGCACCCAAGACCAGCTTAAGACTTTTAGAGACACCAAAGCATCGGAACGATATGGCTTCTATGATCTGAAACCAAAAACACTGAAAACTACAGTAAATTGTGAAATAAGTGCGAAAATGCTAATAAGTTTCTGACTTTTCCCATGAACACTTGGGTGCATTTTGGGGGTCAATGAGCCCCTGATTTTTTCCTGTCATATAGTACATTTACTGATATTATAAAAGTAATGCCACAATGTTAAAGGGAAACATTTTTAGATGTTTATAATACTAACATAGCTAAATTTTTATATATCCTCTCCCTTGCTTCACCAACTTTGAGACATTGTTTTATGTCATTATAATCACAGCGTATGTTGGTAGCTTTTTTAAATCAAAATTTTCCCACATTGTTATACAGTCTTCATTAACTATCATTTGTATTCTCTAAGTTTGAGAATGTGCTTACTTATGTTCAGACGGGTTAGACATTCAGGATTCCAGACTGACGGTTGTGGTGGTGGTCATAATTATTAAAGATCAAGTTTCTATGGAATTCAAAAATTCTTTACAATTACCCCTTTGGAAGGAGATTATCAAGACAAAGATTCTTGCTATGAAATTATCTTTTTTCCTGATCTATGTTAGGGGCTAAGAAGTTGGAATGAGGAAACTGATAACTAGTAATATGTGAATCTGTATCTTATTGACATTTGTATAAAAATTTTTAAAAAAGCAAAACCCTGGGTTAGGGCCTATGGCTCAAAGGAGTAGGACACTGGCCCCATATGCCAGAGGTGGTAGGTTCAAACCCACCCACAGCCAAAAACTGCAAAAAAAAAAAAGCAAAACCCTTCAGGGAAGGGATCTAGGCAAACGTAGAATGTTGCACCTGGCATTGTCTAAGATTTTGAACTCACTTGGTTTAGTCTCCTTATTTTACCAGTGAGGAAATGTGTCAGAAAGCAAAGGTGACTTGCCCAAGGCTACACACTGCAACAGAGCATGAACTAGGACACACGCCTTCTGGCTGGTTTTATTTTCCCTCTATTATGATGGGTTTGGACCTTCAATTGAATCTGCAACTGACCTTTTTGCTGCCAAGCCTGTCAAACTTGATTCCAACGTGCCTGGGAAAATGAAACTCTTCCCCCAAGGACACAGATGGGGTCTCTAGTGTTTTCGAGCTTTCTTTAGGAAGCCTGATCTTTTCTCCTGTACTCATGGTGCTAAAAGTTACAGAACTCTGGACTCACATTTATGAGTCTCATTTCTCAGAGCTGTAGGCCAGAAGCACCTCGGAGAATATTCGGCAGGTGACATTTTGGCTCTGAAGAGCCAACACCTCTGGCACTGGCCACATATTCTCCATCCTCCAACGGTGGGATTGGACCATAGAGGTAGGTCCATTCCAGAGTGCTGGAGAAGGTTGCAGTTGAGTGATTTTCATCACAAGGGGGCAGCATGTATCCAGGAATTAATCCATTACAGCCGTGGCCAGAAGGATTCAACTGTGCAATGGGGTCTGGTGACTGGCACACTGTTCTTTCTATTTAAGACCCAAACCAAAGTATATTGTGTTAGAAGCAATTTTATCTTAAACCCATTCAGCCAGAACATCAAAAACATCAAAAAGTGCACAGAATTGGCTAAGGACACATTAGAAGAATAGTATTGTGGCAAGCTCTCTGGGGACTGAGGAGCTGGGTCCAAATCCTAGTGTTACCAGTGGCTGTGTGACCTTGGACAAGTGACTTAGTTTCCTATTTATAACATGCAGCTGATAAAACAGTGCTCCTTGGCAGAATTATTTGGTTATGAGTAAATAAATGAGAGTATGTAAAGCACTATTAAAATAGCACCTAGTATGCAGTAAGGGCTCAGAAGTAGCAACTCCTGTTATCTAACAGCAGAGTTCAACCTGTGGCCCATGGGCCAAGCAGCATGCGGATTGTGTGAGGACATTTTGTGCTTATCTGTGGCATTGGCTATCACAAAAAGTATGCACGGAACTTTATTTTGCTAATCAGCATTCATTAGTGTTTGTGTATTTACTGTGTGGCCCAAGACAGCACTTATTCTTCCTATGTGCAGCAGAGAAGAAAAAAAGTTGGACACCTATGAGTCCTAATCAGAACTTTTTCCTCTTCAGTGAGCATCAGAGATAAGGCAAAGGAAAAGGGGAGATTCTCCTGGACCATCCTCCCCAATTGTGAGAGGCCCTCTGAAATAACACTGCCATTTTCAAACTGATTCCCAAGTCCAGTCTTTTAAGCCCAGAAGCCTGAAGCCATTTCCAAGACTAAATACCTGTGGGATTAGAACCACTGACTGTAGGGGAAACTGTCTTCGCTTTTATTTTGTTAAGGAACCACATACCCAGGTGAACATGTCATTTCCATAAGCATGAATTAGAAAAGCCAAAACCTATCTGCATTTTCATTTGACTTCACAGATGTTAGAGTGTATCATCTGGCTTTCCTCAAGGTTATTTCTTTGATGCCAGCATGTGGTTCTCTGTTTCCAGCATTCTCGTCATTCACTTGTTAATATTGCTACTAATCCCTCCCTGCCTGTAGCAAAAATGAAGGAGAGAGCTGGAGAGGAGAGCAGGAGGAGAGGGAGATGTGGACAGAGGGGAACTGGGAGGACAGGAGGTGAGCGGACTACTTCTTGGAATCCTGACTTCCCCCCACACTGACACCTCCTACTGCCGTGTCCAGGGACTTCCTGGTGTGCCTAAAGCCATCTGCTGGCACCTGGGCACGCTGAAGTCTCATGGAACCTGTGAGCTTGTCACCTGCTGAGCAGCTGGGGTGGGAGGCATCACAGCTGCCCACCACTGCTTTTACATTTCCAACTGATGTGCACTACAAGACTTGCAAGATTGTTCTCCTTCTACTGAGACAACACACTTACCTGTTTCCAATTCACTGTCCCAGGAGGACCCATGGGTGGTCAACAAAACCTTTCCATTTGAATCATCTAGTCCAGTGTTCCTCATTACCACCTCCCTCCTGAGACTCTTCAGACATTTCCCCATCCCCGCCCATCATGAAGTTTTAATCCCACGGATATACTTGTATTTCTGTTTATATTCTACTGTTGACCAATGGAAGGCCACAAACCCAAACCAAAAGTTCCTTTTTGTTTTCTAAGAACCAGTTTTTACCTCTGTAGGGGTGATAAAGCCCCTGTTGGGAACCCTTGTTTAGTCAAGACCTAGATAATTCTCCTCGCCCTTGCCATCTCCAAGAAACCCTCTGTCGTCCTAAGAGCTGTTTACAAATACTTGTATGGCAACAACCGTTTGCCATATATTGTCCTTACTGTGCTACAAATCCTACCTCATCTAATCATGGTAAGAATATACCCATGAGGTATATTCTTATGACCATGGAGAAGTTAAATACCTTGTCCAAGGCCGTGCAGTTAATTAGCAGCAGTCTGGTTCCAAACTTACTCTCTTGCCTGCTTCTTTCTGCTACTGTTTGGCAGACTCTGAGCCTATTCTTTGTTATCTTTCAGAAATAGAGACTGGGTCCACACCAAGTTGCTTTCCCAACCTCCCAGCAGGTCACGACATACAATTTAAGAAACATCAGCCTGTCTTGGAGCAAGCCCCTGCTCCCTACTTCTCAGCCCCACTGACCCAGCTCCTCCTGTGCTATAGACTCCTGGCAGCC